AATAATTTATTTATTTTATGTGCATTGGTGTGAAGATATCAGAATCTGGAACAGACAGTTGTGAGCTGTCAAGTGGGTGCTGGGAATTGAGCCTGGATCCTCTGGAAAAACAGCTAGCGCTCTTAACTGCTGAGCTACCTCTCCAGTCCCCCCCTACACATACCTTTTAAGATGGGTCTTATTAGCTGTCTAAGGTGTCCTCAAATTTGCAAACCTCAAAACTCCCAAAGAGCTAGGACCATAACTGGGTTCCCCAGTACCGGTTGTACCAGGTCTTTAAAGAAAATATTGAATTTTATTGAAACGTTTTCTGTATCTATTAAAGTAACTTTTGTGGCTTTGCTGTGTAGCCCTAGATGGCATGGGAAGGTTTGGATTTATTTTTATTCTTTTTAATTATGTGTCTGTGTGTGGGTGTGTGAGTGCAGATGCCATCAGAGGTCAGGGCCTCAGATCTGCTGGAACTGGAGTTAGAAGCAGGTGTGAGACTTGGGTTCTGGGAATTCTGGTCCCTTATAAGAGCTGTAAGTGCTTTTAACTTCTGAGCCGTCTCTCAACACCTCATTCCTCTCCCTCCCTCATGGTCTCTCTTGGTCTCTCTGTGTATCTGTCTGTCTCTGTCTCTGTCTTTTCCAGATAGGGTCTCGCTATGTCTATGTAGATCAGACAGGCCTCAAACTCACAGAGATCCATCTGCTTCTGCTTCCACAAACGGTGGGATTGAAGGTGTGTGACAAACTGGACGTGGTGTGCCTTTAATCCCAGTATTTGAGAAGAAGCAGCAGATAAATCCCTGAGTTAGAGTGCAGCCTGGTTTACAGAGAGTTCCAGGATAGCCAGGGCTACGGGGAGAAACCCTCTCTCAGAAAACCAAAAGCCAAACCAACCAACCAACCAAACAAGCCAAAATAGGTGTGTACTACCACGTAGACCTGATCTTTTCCTGTGCTTGTGACGGGATTTCACGTGAAATCCCGTAGCCCAGAATCCCCTGAGCTCAGAGTACTTCAGAGGGTGACCTTGAACTCCTGATGTTGACACCTCCTGAGTGCAGGGATAACAATTCTACTGGCTTGAATTTGTGACCTTTCTGCCTCAGTCCCCCTCGTGCTGTGTGACTGGGCCACTGTGGCCAGCATAATAAATGATTTTTGTATTTAATGCATTATTGCTACGGATTATATTGATTTCCAGTACCAAACCAAGCAACATAGGCAAACAAACCTGACTGTGTACACTTTCAAACATGTATTTTAGTAAATTTTGGACTCAGTATGGTGGCACAAATGTTTAATACCAGAACTCAGGAGGCAGAGGCGGATGGATCTCTGTGAGTTCCAGGCTAGCCTGGTCTACACAGGGAATTCCAAGGCAGCAGGGTTAAACAGTAAGACCCCATCTCAAACATTCTTTTAACCATATTTTGTTTTTAATTTTTCAATGTTGTTTATTTGCATGTATGTGTGGGTGCATGCACACCATGGACTTATGAAATGGTCGGAGGATAACTTGTTGGAGTCGGTTCTTTTCTTATACCATGTGGGTACTGGAGATTGAACTCAGATTGCCAGACTTAACTGCAAGCACCTGCTAGCCATCTCACCAGCCTGGTCATGCATATTTTAGTTGTATTTGTTTGCATTGCTTAATTTAGTTTGCTGATATGTTTTGTTTATTGGGATCTGGGAATTGAACCCAGAGCCAAGCTTACTCTGCCAGGCAGGTGCTGTACCCTTAGTTGCCCATCTACGCAACAGTTCTCATGTTTATGCTTGAGAGTATAATTCAGCTTGACACTTAACCAGTGTGTCAGTCTTTTGATACTGGACATGATGTTACTGTCTACAAGTTCACACTGAAGAACCACACAATCTTTAACAAAACGTGATCCCCTCCCCGAATCCGATGTTTATTTGAAGGCAGGATCTCAAAATGTAGACCAGGATGCCCTTGAATTTTGAGACCCACTGGCCTTCTGCCTCCTGAGTTCTGGGGTTAATGATGTGTGCCAGCATGTCAGGAAAAACTTCCTGTCTTAAATAGGGTTATGATTTTGTGTTGGGCCAACTTTGCAGCTCCTTGTGGCCACCCCGCCGGCTGCAAATTGACACATTTAGAAGACGGGAGCTAATTCTCCTAGGATGGGTGAGAAGTCTAAGGCTCAGAGACCATAGGAAGTTAGTGAGTCACACAGCATGTTAGTGCTGGCACTAGACCTCAGATGTGGGCCTCCCTCCACTGAAGGACACGTTCGCTTTCTCTAGGTGAGATGGCAGTCACTAAGGTTGTATGGCTTTAACACTCAGTTGATGTCTCTGAATATACCCCTTAGATTCTTGAGACTCTGTTTTCCCCTGCAGCAAAAATCAAAACAGTTGGAGTTGAAGAGATGGCTGTACAGTTAGGAGCACTGGCTGCTCTTCCACAGGACCTCAGTTTGATTCCCAGCACCCACATGGTGTCTCACAACCATCTGTAACTCCAGTCCTGAGGATCTGACTCTTTTTTCAGGCCTCTAGGCACTGAACTCATGTGATGATAAACACTCATACAAGAAGAAAGAAAGAGAGAAAGAAAGAAAAAGGAAGAATGAAAGAAAGAAAGAAAGAAAGAAAGAAAGAAAGAAAGAAAGAAAGAAAATCAAAGCAGTTGGTAATGACTCTGATGGGAGGGCTGTGTAAACCAGGTCTCAGTTCAGCTGGAAAGAGGGCTGGGATCTATTGGTAGTGTCTGCCATGCACACCAGAAGGCAAAGTGGCCAGCATTGCCTCCAGCTCTTCTGTGAAGTCGTGGCAAGGAAGGAGACTTCAAGATGGTTCCACAGGTAACGGTGCTTGCTGCCAGGACTGAGAACCTGAGTTCAATCCCAGGGCCCACAAGATAATGAGAACCAACTCCTTAAAGTCGTCCTCTGACCTTTCCACACTAATACTAGTACACACCCATACTAAATAACTGGGAAAGAACAGATGAAAGAAAGAAGAAAAGAAAGAAAGAAAGAAGGAAAGAGAGAGAGAGAGAGAGAGAGAGAGAGAGAGAGAGAGAGAGAGAGAGAGAGAGAGAAAAGGAGAGAGAATGTGTGTGTTTAACAGTGACCAAAGCTTGGCTGGGGATAATGTTCAGGGTATAGTGCTTGCCCAGCATGTGAGGTAGGGTTTAGTTCCTAGGACTGACAAAAGGAGGGGATTTTTATAATCCTATCTCGGTGTGTTGGCTTACCCCTCTAATCTCTGTAGCCTTGTACAGAGGAAGTGAGGCAAGATCACCACTGCAGCTCAGGGCTAGCCTGGGTTACAGAGAGTGGAGGATGGTGACACGTGGCTGTTAAGGAAGCACTAGGGAGATGGAGACCGGAAGATCAGAAGTTCAAGGGCATCCTCAACAGCACAAACCAATTCAAGGCCAGCCTGGATCAAAGGAGAGCCTCTATCAAAAAATATAAAATGAACTGGGCGTGGGGCATGTACCTTTATCCCAGCACTTGGGAGGCAGAGGCAGGTGGATGGATCTCTGTGAGCCAGCCTGGTCTACATAGTAAGTTCTAGGCCGGCCACAGCTATGTAGTGAGACCCTGTCTGAAAACAAAGAAACAAACAAAATTTAAACTGGGGAGCAGCAGTCCCCTAGGGTTCTGTGTGTGAAATGGCAGCAGTGCCTAGCCTGTTTCGGATGGACCTGCAAGACAGCACAGTGATCCAGCCCCCGGTGGCATGTATGCTGGCTCACCAGAGGTCACACTCACTGTGGTCAGTTATAGAGGAAACTGGAGATTCCTTCTTATTTTAAAGTAAGGGCACCTTCCATGGAGCCTAAAACCTGAGTTCCTCCCCTGGAACTCACACAGAGGAAGAATCAACTGTCTCAAGCTGTCCTCTGACCGCCACATAGGGGTGCATGCCAACATTCCACAATCTCCCTCACAGTAAATAAATCAAATATAAAGTAAATAAATTTGCCTGAGCTATGCATAGTGGCTCATACATGTAATCCTTGCACTTGAGAGTCTGAGGGAGGAGTATGAAAAGTTTAAGGTTAGGGCGTCGGTGGCGCACGCCTTAAATCCCAGCCCTCTGGAGGCAGAGGCAGGCGGATCTCTGTGAGATAGAGGCCAGCCTGGTCTACAAGAGCTAGTTCCAGGACAGGTTCCAAAGCTAAAGAGAAATCTTGTCTCAAAAAAAAAAAGAAAAGAGAAAAGAAAAGAAAGAAGGAAAGAAAGAAGAAAGAAAGAAAGAAAGAAAGAAAGAAAGAAAGAAAGAAAAGTTTGAGGTTAACCTGGCTAACCTGGCTATGTAATGACTTAAAGCCAGTATGGTAGATATAGCAAAGTCCTACTACCCCACCCAGAAAAAGAATTATGCTGGGCATGGTGGCACACACCTTTAACTCCAGAACTAGGCAGCTAGAAGCAGGTGAACCTCTGTGAGCTTTTCCAGGCCAGCCAATACTACAAACTAAAACCTTGTCTCCAAAAATAAAGCCCACATGCAGTATAAAAATGGTGGCTGGAGAGGCATCTTAGCAGTTAGTTTGTTTCCACAGGATGGCCCACAACTGTATCTCTAGTTTCAGTGTATCCACTGCCTTCTTCCGGCCTCTAGACCCCCTGCCCCCCCTGCCAGGCACCAGGTATGCACACAACATGCATATAGTCAACACACACACATATTATAAATAAATCTTAAAAATCAAATGTTTGAGACCAGGTGGTGATGGCACATTTCTTTAATCCCGGCACTTGGGAGGCAGAGGCAGTGGCAGGTGGATCTCAGTGAGTTTGAGGCCAGCCTGGTATACAAAGTGAATTTCAAGACAGCCAGGACTGTTATACAGAGAAACCCTCTCTCAAAAATACAACCAACCAACCAACCAACCAAGCAAACAAACAAGCAAACAAAAACAAATTTTTGATGTAGGTGTTGAGGTCTTGGGCCCAGAGTTTAACTCAAGCATTCACGTGAAGGTGGAAGGAAAGAACGGACCCCACAACATTGTCCCCTTACCTTCATAAACACCTGCTGCGGCACACACATGCCCATCATAACCACACACACGCTAACAAAGTTAAGTTTTTAAAAGTGGTTGGTGAGGGAGTTGCGATCTCTGCCAACCATGCAAGAGTGGTGCCAGCTCACACTGCCCAGCTGTGCATCCTCAGATCTGCTCCCTAAAGTTTCTTGGACTCCGGGCCACACTGTTGAACCTCAGATTACGGGTGCAGCAACCTGAGGAAGAATTTAAAGCCCTGTGTTAGGGCAGCTGGGCAGCATACTGAGATCAGTTAGTAAAGTCTGCTATGGGCTTAGTTGTGAGAAGTGGAAGTAGATTTGTAAGGTTCATGCCCCTGCCTCAGCAGTATTATTTAGAACCATCCCATGAGTCCACACACAACTGGTTCTCTCCTTTTGCCTTGGGGGCCCCAGGTATCGAACTCAGGTCGTTGTGTTGGTGGCAAGAGCCTTGACTTGTGGCGCCTTCTGGTTCTCCTGGCTCCTGACCTTGAACTTCTGAGTCTCCACTCTCACAAACTGGGATTTACAGGCTTGTATTAGCATGCCCTATTAGAGTGGAGCTGGGAATCCATTCCAGGTTTTGTTACATGCCAAGAAGCATTTACCCCAGCTGAGCTGCAAACCCTGCCCTTGGGGTAGCTCCTGAAGTCTAGACTTAAAAGGTCTTTGGTTACCTCCCCTGTGCTGTGGAGGCAGATGTGCTCCATCAAGCCCCGCTGCCTTTCAGTCTCTAAAAGGTTAACACCAGACTGGGTGTAGTTCAGAGGCAGGGCACTTACTCCCTCACACAAGCCAGGCCCTGGGCATCTTGAGTACAATAGGGTGAGGGAAAGGGTGTCATAGAGCGTCAATTCTGATGACCAATCAGCTGAGAGTGGCTACCCACAATCATCTGCTCAGAGTACTCCAAAGCCATTTAGTCTCTGGAGGAACATGTTCTGCATTGATTAAATCCTGGGCTTATTAGTAATGCCTGTCATGGGCACAGCAGTCAGATGGTGAACACTGCAAGGTTCCTAATATTCACTCTCCCTCCCTCTCTTTCAAATCTCTCTCTCTCTCTCTCTCTCTCTCTCTCTCTCTCTCTCTCTCTCTCTCTCTCTCTCTCTCTCTCTCTCTATCTATCTATCTATCTATCTATCTATCTATCTACTTATGTTTTTCAAGGCAGAGTTTCTCTGTAGCTTTGGTGCCTGTCCTGGAACTAGCTCTTGTAGACCAGGTTGGCCTCAAACTCACAGAGACCTGCCTGCTTCTGTTTCCTGAGTGCTGGGATTAAAGACGTGCGCCGCCACTGCCTGGCTTAGGGTTTCCTAATTTTAATACTATATTGATAGCACAGCCTATGTTTTGAGAACCTGCTACCCTGTTCTTTTTTCTTTTTAGGACAGGAATTAGACTCGGGACTCACACATACTAGACAGGTAACTTTGCCACCGAGTCCTAACCCCAGCTTTCTCATGAGAAACTTTCAGAAATTCTCCCAACATAGAACATTATGAAGGCATTTTCTCCACTGATCACAAGAGAAAACTGAGTCTCGGTGAAACAGGGATGGCCCCAGGTGAAATGGCAGAACAGAGCCAGTCAGATAGAGATGCCTGTGGCCACGCCCTAGGACCTGCTCTCCATCCCTGGTGTCCACAAACTGCAAGGACAGAGCCAAACTTGCAAGCTGTCCTCTGACCTCCATGCACACAAATAAGCAAATTTACAAGTATAATAAAAATTCAAATCTATGATCAAAGAATCAAAGATCAATAATAACGAGAGCCACAGAGCCCCAATGGCACCTGTGGCAGAGCACACGCTCAGCGTGCAGTGCTCAGGCCCTGCGCAGAGCCCCAGCGGCACCTGCGGCAGAGCACACAGCATGCACAGGCCCTGCGCAGAGCCCCAGCACCACACAGATGAACAGAAACAGCAAATGCAGAATGGCACGGCAGCCCTCAGCTGTAGCTCCCAGGACCTGGAACTCGACACAGAATCAAACCTGCCTTAAAAACAGAACTCAATAAAAAGACAACCCAACATCCGCAGAGAAAGCAGCGCTGAATGCCTGTTAACTTGTGGCAAGTATTGCTTCAGAGCATAGGACATCGTGTGTGCTAGGCATGCGGTCTTTAGCCTACTTCCTAGTTTTTGGAGCCCCACTGTGTGTCAGGCATTGAGCATGTGGAATGTGGATTTTTGTTTTGTTTGTTTTGAGACAGGGTCTCATTATGTAGCCCACTGTCCTGGAACTCCCTGTGTAGACCAGGCTGGCCTTGAACTCAGAGATCTGCCTGCCTCTCCTGAGTGCTTGGATTAAAAGGACTATGCCACCATGTCCAGCTACATGTTTTGAGACACGAGCACTATACCGAAAATAGAGACCATTTCTCAGATGGAGAAACCAAGGCCAGAGGTAATGGTTTAGTGTTTGCTGTGGAGCCTATCTTAGATAGGCCTGTGTGTGTGTGTGTGTGTGTGTGTGTGTGTGTGTGTGTGTGTGTGTGTATGTGTGCTTGTGTGTGCCACTGCTCCTGTGTGGAGGCCAGGGGACAACTTTTGGATGTTAGTTATTTTCTTTCACCATGTGTGCCCTAGAGATGGAAGTCAGGTTGGCACAAGTACCCACTGACCCCTGACTTACTGAGCCCTGAGTGTGGAGTTACCTACAGCTGTGCCCCCATGACGGTAGGGGTACCAGGGTGTGCTAGTTCTGCGGGTTTGCTGCCAGCCTGCTCACCTTAGTGCTTCTCCCTCCTCTCCCGCTTGAGCTTAGCTGGGCAGGGCCTGGTGCTCCTTTCACAGCTGAACCTACTGAGCCGCCTAAGCCGATAATGGGGATCGGATTGGCAGAAGCCACACCCGGCCTGTCCTGTAGTAACTGCAGCCTGGGTTGGTGGCACCCCAGTGTCAGAGGGGCCTTGAGGACTGGCCCAGGGCTGACTGAGCAGGACTTCCCCCCTCCCTTCCTGGCCCCTCCTATGGGTCTGTTTCTCTCTCTTGGCTTAACCTTTCCCCTCACTCTTTCTCATTTCCACTGCACCCCCCCCCCCAGCACCACACCACACACAGCTGAGGTAGGGATTTCTCAAAAACACACCTAAAGGCACTCGCTCCTCAGACCCCCTTGGCCTCCAGCTGGGCCTCTGGGCTCCAATCACAGTGACAGATGCCTGGATACTGGTGACAATAGGGCATTGAGTGGCTATCTGTGCAGGCAAGTCGGGCCACCACGTGGTGCAGACTGAGCCTCCTATTCCTGAACCCTTTGCCTTCTACTTCTGCTAGGGGCCTCACCGTTTCCATCCCCCTCACTTCCTCCTTCTTGAGAGTCCCCCACCACCACCCATGGGAATTCCAGGCCTTCTAGGGGCTCCAGGTCCTCCTGTAACCTCTGACCACACCCTCTTCTCTTTTGCGCATTCTTTTCAAGCAGAACAACAGAGGAGGGGGAATCAGGGGGGGGGTGCTATATTGCTATAGGGGTTCTGAGAGTTCCAAGGAGGCCACACTCCTGTTCTCAGACCTGAATGAGCACCTTGAGGCCCAGAGATGGTAAGGAATCAGCCTGAGGTCACACAGCACGATGAGCCCGTCTTAGGAAGGTTTCGGGGAGGAGGTGGTCCGGTCCCGGGGTCCAAGAGAGAGGAGGCCTAGGATGAACTATTGAGCTTCCTGACCTCCACTGTACTAGCCTCGACTCGAAAAAGAGGCCGGGAACAACACTCGGTGTGCAGAGACACACAGGGAGAGATCTCCGAAGAGCAGAAAAGGTAGGCTGGGCGCGGGGACCAGACAAAGGACGCGCGGCGGCGCGGGGAGCTAGTCGCTCAGGGAGGCGGGGGTGGAGCCAGGGTGCGGTGAGCACTGGCCAGCCCCGCCCCGGGACACGCCCGGGTTACCGGGTGGAGGTCCGAGGGCTCGCTCCAGGCCAGGTCCTGGGGGCCTCGGGGCGGGGCCTGAATGGGCGTGGCAGGCAGGGCGTGTCACGTCGGGCGGGGCCGCGAGTTCGGGAGCTGACCAGCTCTGAGACTGCTGAAAGCGAACGCGCGCCGGCCGAGCGGCAAGAGTTGCGGGCGCGTTCAAGGTCACCCCGAGGCCCTGAGCCCTGGCCTGGGGAGGGCGCGTGCAGCAGGCCCGATGGGATGCTGCTGCAGCCCCTCACCCCCTCACCTGGAGACAGTGCCTAGGGAACGGGAAACCCCTCTCTTGTCCGCTCCCCCCCCCTCGCAGCCCCGAGGCCCTGCGCGAGGCTATGGCCCGCGAAGAAGGGCGGAGAGACAAAGAGACCACGGCGGTGGCAGCGAGGCCTCGGGGCGCCCCCTCCTCTCTCCTCCCCGCTTGCCGCAAGGTCGACGGGGCTCGAGGACGAAGATGCCCGCCTCTCGGGCGCGGCTGGGGCCCGGGGTAGCGCAATCCGATTACACCCCGCCTCTCCATCCTCCCCCCCCCAAAAAAAAAGCTCTCGGAGAATGCCGTGAGGCCCTTGCCCGGACCAACAGAAGGCCACCGCGGCCCGCGTCCTCCTGGGCGGCCTACGGGTCTGGGCCTGGGATGCTGGAAACATCCTCCGCGCCGCGGCCCCTCCCCCACAGTCTTCCAGTGAGGGGCCATCCCGACCCTGGGGTAGCCGAGGGAACCCCGCACACAGCCCAGCTCGCCAATCCTCTCAGGCCAGGCTCTGCTCCCCAGAACTCCGGATGCGACTCTAACCACTCTCAGGCCCGAGGAACGGTCCTACCCCCCCACCCTCAGGCCTAGCTAGGCCTGGTCCTACCCCCCCCACCGCGTCTCCGTGGAGCCAGACTCAGCCCCTCCCTCTCGTGTTCGTCTCGCAGCGACAAGGGAGTACCTACAGTGACCATTCTTGTGTGCCCGGCGGGCGCGGTCCGTATCGAGGGCGGCTCCGGGGTTCGTGCACTCCTTGGGGGGCGCCCGGTGCTCACGCCGGGGTCCCGCCCGGGCGTCTGCGGTTGCGGACGCTGCAGAGGCGGAGACGGAGGCGGCGGCGCCCTCGAGGGCCGGGACCCGAGCCT